TATGTAGAAGTGGCCATCCCAAGGGGTTCCTCAGACACAGTTTAACTGTAAAGTACCTGAGGGAAGTCCCATAGTCCCCTAACATGGCATAGAGAGGGGAATCATAGAGCAAGAAACGCAGGTCTCCTCCAGTGTGGTCACAGTGCAAGACCTGGGGGAAACAAGCAATACTAGCCAGGCTCTCTGGGTCTCTGAGCTGATCACGTGGTTGGTGCCGCATCCAGGCATCCAGACACTCTGTTTCCCCATGTATCCTGGCTGTCTGCCTGGCACAGAAGTACCTGAAATTCTCTCTCCAAATATTCTGGAGCTTCCTGTTTGGCACAGATTTGAAGCTAAACTCTTTCAAATTATGGATTAAGAGGGATCACAGGGCTCCCCTCCAATTGAGACAAAGAAAGGCAGGAAATCTATGGGGCTCACCATCTTCTTGCCCCTTCCTCATGGTGCTTCTCTCAGCTGGTCATCAGCAGAAATGGAGGTGTGGTGTGGAGAAGCTCAGCATGGCCACGTGTGTACCTGGGTGCAGGTGAAGATTCTCCAGGAGACTAATGTACTGATGCATACTGGGAGCTTTTTCTCCTCCTTGTGCCACCACTAAAACTCTTGCTGGGTCCTACAGTGATACCTGGTGCCAGACTAGTACCCCAGGTAAGGAAGAATGAGGAAATGGGCATTAACTATGAGTTGCCCAGAATTTCTAAGCATTGAAACTGCGAATCTAAACTCAGAAGCCTCCTGTCTTCATTGAAAGCACACTAGGCCCCTTCACTCAAATCTTGCTTTCTGTGGCAGGGAGGCTGGCTATGTGCTTCCTGCCTGGAGCAGGTGTGTGTGTGGAGTGCCCTCCACTCTCCTAGGGTCAGCCTGAGTACTGCCATGCAAAGAGGAGACTACGTGAGTGACCAGCAGATGGCAGTATGTCTGCATGGATTCGACACTACTAGAGGTCTGAGCCAAGAAGCTCAGGGCTCACTTTCAAATTTGACCCCTTGGGAAATAGACTTACGTGCTGGAGTGGCAGGAACTGAATGAGATATTGGAGCAGGATGCCGCGTTCTTTGAGTCTGCTCTGTTTCCTGATTAGGTTTCTCAAACTCCCACCCAGGCCTCATCCTCCTGTGAAACAGTTATTCACCATTCCCACCAGGTGGAGCTATTCACTGAAGACAGAAAAGCCACATAAGATTGCATTTCTAGGCTTTATGTTCAGTTCAATGGGAGGTGCCATTTTTGTTTGTTTGTCTTTTATTTCTTCTTACAAATGTAAAAGGGACGATTTGGGGATTCTGGGCAGAAAATACCCGAGAGCTATACTGAAGCAAAGTGGCCCAGAATCCATCTGGCTTTCTCCTGAGGACTCCAAAGAAAAGAACACTGCCTTAAGTCCAAAGCTCTACTTTAGGAGACCTTGACTAGCTCCTGATACAACAGATCCACTGGGTAGCACTTGGGAACTCACTGGAAATGGATTCCGGAATCCTCATTGTAGAGAAAACAGAAGAAACTAGAGACATTCTCGTAGGTGGGAACCCAGATCATGCCCCATGAAAGCTGAATTGGGGGGGGGGGGGTATCATCTGCTGCCATTTTTGACCCCATCATTGACTACATGCAATTTTACTGAAGTCTACAAAGGCACTCTGAAATTCCTGGTGTGATACGCTCTTGGTCTGGGAACAGCCTGAGATGCACAGGTATGATGTCTGGGAGTAGGATCCCTGAGGGCTGCAGGTGTCCTGAATTGGGAGAGGAAACCTGACCTGGGTGGAGACTGTGTCAGAGGCTTCCTGAAAAACATGGTCCTATTTCATAGATAATTTGGATGAAAAGAAAGAAAGTTGCATCGTCAGTACACAGTGTTGGGGCAGGAAAATAAGACCAGAGGGCCCATGGGTCTATGCAGAGATGCAGAGATGAGCCACTCGGATGCAGAACCTTCCGCTGACAGTGTGGGCACTTAGGAAACACTGGTCTTAAGGATCTGAAGAAACGAGCTGAGGTCTCAGGACCATTTCACAGGGTGTGTGGTGTGTTAGATTAAGCCCTGCAGTTCCATTAGGAGACATACATGGGCCCCAGGGAAGGTGACCATGAAAAATGACATGTGGCTTAGGATGTATCCTGAGGCAGCACCCTGGGTACACAGTAAGGAAACGAGGCAGGGCTCTGGAACCCGGCACTCCACACTCTGAAAATCTCTGTCCAGCTTCCTGAAAATCAGATGCAAGAATGGCCAAAGGCTTGCCTGGGAGAAGATAGTAACTGCCATAATTTGGTAGATTCATGCTCTGTGGGGCTGAGCCAGGCCTGAGGCTGGAGCAAGGTGCTGTCCGTGTGCATAACCACAGTCCTGAGAATATCTCCAGGAAGCTTTACTAGCTCCTCATGCCCATGTCGAACCTACCCTGGCACTGGGGGTGGGTAGCTTCATCAGACACCAGACCAGAAGCTCTCATTTCAGGAACTGACTAGCAAGACTAACACAGCAATGTGCAGAAGTTACTGCAGTCATTAAACATACACCCAGTTCCAGTGTGACTTTACTCTCCTTTCACAAGTGAACCAACACAGCTCTCTACAACACATGCCCTGATACAGCCTCGCCAACAGCTGACAGAGATCCCACAGATCACACTGTGGCTGAGGCCCCTTGTCCCTGGGCTACCATAGCTATCATTTATATTTATTATTATTCATTTATAATATGAGCCACACAGTGGCATATCCCAGGCATTACATGTATGTTACAAGCAAAGCTGTAAATGATACCCCACCCCAGCAAAGCTGGTCATATCTGAGCTCGGTGCTTATGATTATGCGCAGAAATGGTGCTGATAATATATCTGTGAGCAAGCAGCTGCTGCAGAGTCTGGCTGTAGGAGACTTCTGTTATTTCTGAGTGAGGTCCTTCTAATTGTCCAGAGAAATCTAACTGTAAAGCAGTTGTGGTATCCCATGACAGTGGCCTCATCCAACACCTCGTGTTTGTACAAGCACACAATAATACACTCGCTTGTACAGATCACCTGGCATTGCATTTTTCCAAGCACACGGAGGGGCCAAGGGAATGGGACTGGGACTGTTCCGTGTAAGAAGCAGCAGCAGCAGCAGCTAAGGTAGTGTGAGACTGGCTTTTCAGTAAGAAAACATGCCAAGAGCAGTCTCCTGGAGCCTGCAGGCCCGCTCCCCAGAGGGAGAAATCTAAGCAGTGGACTTAGTCTAGTCCCGACTGGCCTTGACCTCTTCTTGTGACTGGAACTGTTCTTGAATTCCTAATCTTTCTGCATCTGCCATCCAAGTGCTAGGATCATAGGAATGTGCCACCTTACCCAGGTTTTACATGGCAAGGTTTCACTTTGGGGGGAGGGTCTTCACAAGTCTTCCACTGCTCTTCATTTATAATATGAGTCTGAAGTGCACAGTCAGAGGTGACTTTATCAAGACAAGGGGAAACTTCAGTTTCAGCACCCCACTGCTGTCAGATTTCAGAACCGTATTGGGATCTATACATGGCTGCGGGCCTTGAGGAATCATGAGTAGGTGATGGTCTGTGACTGCCTGATGGGGTCCTCCTTTCCCGACAGGGTCCTCCCTTTCCAGCGGGGTCCTCCCTTCCCAGCGGGGTCCTCCTTTCCCGACGGGGTCCTCCCTTCCCAGCGGGGTCCTCCCTTCCCAGCGGGGTCCTCCCTTCCCGACGGGGTCCTCCTTTCCCGGCGGGGTCCTCCCTTCCCGGTGGGGTCCTCCTTTCCCAGTGGGGTTCTCCTTTCCCTGCCGCACTACCAGTGGAAGAGCCTGTGTTTTGATGGGCATGAGGAGGCCCACATATTCCATTCATGGAGAAGAGCTCTGTATCAAGGACATACATGCCTTTCTGGCTCCAGCAGACACTCAGCCAGGGTAGCCGCTCTGCATAGGCCCCATCAGACATGTCCATCAGAGGTGCAGTGGAGAGCGAGGGTGGAACTTGATTAGGCATGGTAATTAAAGAATCACCAGAGAGCCATGTATTTATTACTGTGACCAAGAGGAACTGGGGGGGGGAGGGGGGAGGGCTCACTTTGGCTCATGGTCCAGAGGAAGCAGTCTATTATGGAAGGGAAGGCATGGTGGCAGCAGCTGTTCAAGGCTGTGGGGGTGAGAACTTGCTCATATCTGGGCACATCAGGGTGCAGAGAAAAGAGAATGCACTCAGCTGTCTCCTTCTTCTAAAACCTTTCCTGTTTAGTCTAGAATTCTGGTATGTGGAATGGTATTACCGACATTTGGGATGACTCTTTCCTCCTCAGTTAGGACTCTGGAAATGCCTTCCTTTGAAGGTATTTCACAACCGGAGGTGTGACTCCTAGGCAATTCCAAATCTAGTAATAGCGATAATGCAGAAGAACCATTACGGCAGGGCCACCTTAAAACCAGACTGCGCTGCTGGCTGAGTAACAAGTTTCAGAAACCATGCTGACAGTATTGTAATTGACTTTATACCTGCTTCCATCCCAAGCAGTTTGTGGAGGGATGGGGTGAAGGGGAGCTTGCTATGGGGTCATGATAACCAAAGCTGGCTCGAACATTCTTACACTACTTTGTTTTTATGCGTTTGAGATTGGGTTGGACCTTATTATTACATAAATTTGATGCTGCTCACAAGAAACAACAAGTTTTAAAGAAATATAATCACCTCATAGAAGCTGCAAAAACTCTATGAGTTATGCCAGAAGGAGCGTGTGTCCCTTCATCTCATATGCCCGTTCTGGAGATCCCAGTCCTGAGGCGACACTAACCATGCACCCACGATCAATCAGCCCATGAGTATGCTCATGTATGTACAGACCACGCTACCCTTGTGTGTATGTGCTGGCACACGGCGGCATTCATCTGTGTTTCTCAGCAGCCCTGTGATAGCAGTTGAACTGATAAAGAAACACTGACACACCACCTGTCACTGCAGAGCTTGGGCTCTGCTGAAGCCCATGGCTAACAGCCATCTCTTGTCTTATTAACAGCTTGTCAGGATGTCCAAGAGCCACCTCAGCAATGAAGAAAGCAAAGCTGTCTGGAGAACAGATGCTGACTATTAAGCAGCGAGCCAGCAATGGTAACCACACCCTGGGGTCCCCAGCAGTCCTGCTGTTTAGAGAGGTGGGATGTCACTGCCTGCCATCTCTGCATCAGTGACTTAGCCCACTGTTCTGAGACCACAGAAGCAGAGATAGATAGACTAGCCTCTATCCCATATCCCAGGATCTCCAGCACTGGGTCAGCTTTCTCACCAAAACCATGGCACACCTTTCCTTCCTCTTTCTTTGGGCTCCCGTTCTTAAACCTGTAACCTAGGAGCCAGCATTAGAGCTCTAAGGACACAAAACAAGGGTAGCCGCCTCCTTCCGGCCCTCTCCTCTCTCTCAGCATGTTCAATAACTGATTGTCTTGAATTCATCTTCATAGTCCACCCACTTCAAGAAGCCCTACTGCTGCTAACTAGTTTGTATGTGTATACAAAGTTTACCAAGGAAGATCAGAGACTTGGGGAGGATTTTGTACCATCTAAGCCACATTAGTCAATAGATCCTGGACACACCCCATGGTCTTATCCTCTTGACTTTTGGATCCCATAAACAGTTCAACCACTAGCTAAAACTAATTTGTAAGCTCAGAGTCAATACTGTGGCATGTTTAGAGTTATTTATAGATAAGCACGAAGAGAGGCAGCAGCTAAGTGCAGTCCAAGCCAAGATGGAGGATTGTTCTGCCTTGTTGTCTGGGGTCTTAAACTGTAAATGAGTTTCTTCTAATGGTATAGCTACGTGTTTTCTTTGTGTATCTGTTGGTGAGTTTTCTTGTGGGAACAGGTCCTCAGACATAGAGATGAAACACTGACTAGTGTCTCTGAGAGTATGAAGCCATGGTGTTCCTTGCAGAAGGGATGCCTCCTGTGGGAAGCATTAATGTGCTTCAGGATGTGGGTTTAATTTTGACCCAGGATTAAAGAGTCTTTCTTAAAAACACACAGGACAGGGCTGGGGAAGAAAGCTCGATAGGTAGTCTCTGCTCTTCAAACATGAGGACATATATTTGGCTTCCTAGAACCCATGAGAAAAGCCAGTGGTGAGAGCATGTTCCTGTAACCCTAGAGCTGTGAGGAAAGAAGACAAGCAGATCCCCAAAGCTCATTGGCTAGCCCGGATAGCCCAGTCAGTGAGCTTCTAGTTCAGTCATTGATTCTTTTAAAAAAGAAGAAAGAGAAAATAACCAAATAAAGACATCTACAACAGAACTTGAGCCTACACACACACACACACACACACCTCTTTTACACATAACACCACACATAAGCAATAAATAAATAAAATAAAAGCACATAGAAGAAACACATAGGACATGTCAGTTATTGAGGAGCTGACCAGAACCAGGATGTCTGTGTCTGGCAGCACCTCCTAAGTCTCCCTAAAACCTGGGGCTCAGCACTCAACTGAGCTGGTTCTAGTAAGAGACCCAGGGCTCAGTACTCACCCAAGCTGGCTCCAGTAAGAGATCCAGAGCTTAGTACTCACCCAAGCTGGCCTCAGTAAGAGACCTAGGGCTCAGCAGTCACCCAAGCTGGCTCCAGTAAGAGACCCAGGGCTTAGTACTCACCCAAGCTGGCTCCAGTAACCGCTAAGCAGAACCTGTGAAGAATATTTGCAAATTGGTGGGGTGTCCCCACCAAGGAGCAGAAAGTGTCCTTACTCAGAAGCTGTCACCCTCAAGCAGGGAAGGTAGACTCTGAGGCCCCTTTCGTATGACACATCCTAACTCAGAGCTCTGGATGCACTACAAATATAGTAGCCAGGGCTGAGAGATCCTCACACCAGACTGGTGGATTCACGATGGCATCCCAATTCAGACCCTGGACTCTAAGTTACACCTCTGGTTAATGGCTGTCTAACCCCAGCAGAAGGACAGTTACGGTGTGCAGATATGTAGGCTTATCATTTCATATTATTTGATAGAACCTTTTCTCTGCCAGTGATAGGGATAAATACTAGCCTGTGGCTCATCATTCTCCAGAGACATACTTATAGATGTAGTACAAGCTTAGGGACTTGAGGTGCTGTGAGCCCGTGTCCTTTCAACCCAATACAAAGGCCAGGAAAATGGAGGTCAACTAGAGTTTCTGCTTTCCAGAAGGCCTGGGACCCATCTGCATGCTCTCTTCTTGAAGCCCCAAATAGTCAGCACGAAGAACTTGCATTGAGACACCTGCAGGCAATGTCCACCACTCTCTTGCTCACTAAGAAGCCAAGTTCCTTGCCAGAGAGAAGATAGGCGCTGAACTCCAGTGAGGCAGCAGGCACTGGCTAGACATTGAGCACTACATCTTACAGACTAGGCCTGGCACTAAGGCAGACATCTTTTAGTAGCTCACTTGAAGACTGTACCCACAGGATACTCATTAGTGAAGGAAGTGGCCATTAGACAAAGGCCAGTTCAAGGGAGAGGAGAATGAAGAAGCCTGGAGACAGACGTGCATGTCCTAGAGAAGGGACAGCTCACACTGGACAGCACTATCCAGACAGCATGAGCAGCCAGCTCTCAGCTTCAGACTTCCACCCTCTTTTGGCAGCTCTGTTTGTTTTAACCCTCTATCTTACAGTAAAACATTTTTGTTTTCTACCCATCAAGAGCAGCCCCAAAGGCTCAACCACCACAGACCTGTCTCTTTTTCTTCTCTTCCTGGACTCTTGGCCAAATTCTACCTCTCTTCATCCAGGCTTCAGTGTTCTGAAGTGTCGCTGGCCTCCATCATGGGCCCTTCTGTCTGCAAAGTTTAAAAACAGATTCTGTAAGGCCTGGCCTACCACATTATTATTCATTGGTCGGCAGGAAGGGCAAGTGACCAGTAATAGCCACAAGCCCAGGACTGTCGTGTTTGAGGATAATGGCACCTGTAATTCTTCTGTACTTTGTGTGTCCTCAACCGTGTAAAAGCACATAGTCCTAAACAAGAGGATCCCTGTCACATTGACATTGACTATACAAAGGTGCCAGCAGTAGAACACAGCAGACCCGATGTTGGAAATGCCTTTTGTTAACACAGTATTAGTCATGTGCCTGGGTTCTCCAGGGCTGGCCTAAGGAGACACCTAGGCCCTTGCACATTGGCAGTCGCTGGCCTGGACTGCTCAGCCTGTGGTAGTCAGGTTCACACCCTTCCCAACTTGTGAACTCTGGGGTCAGAGTCTCTTAGGGCTCCATGTGGAAGCCTGGTGTGCCCAGGATGATAGAATCAAAACTGAGCATGGTAGGATGCTAAGCACAAAAAGTGGCAAGGGGTATAACTAGGCATAGCAAGAGTCTGCAAAGCAACTTCTGCCCAGCATCAAAAGGCCAGATCCTAAGGCTTTGGGCATTCAGCTGGAGCTCTTACCAAGCAGTACAAAAGCTATCTTACCAAGGTTCTTTCTAAAAGTTCACGTTCTCTAAGTTCCTTGGTCATACAGCAAACTGGGATGAGGGGGAAAAAAAAGACATGCACACAGTGACTCTTTATAAATTCAATGATACATTTCCCAAGAAAATTCAATTTCATGTGGAAAAGAACAGAGAAACCAATGTCTTTCTGCTGCAATGTTTTTAGGCACGTTACTCTAACATGATCATTTTTTCCATTACAGGTATAGAAAATGATGAAGAAATTAAGCAGTTAGATGAAGAGATAAAAGAGCTTAATGAGTCCAATTCCCAAATGGAGGCCGACATGATCAAACTCAGAACTCAGGTAACAGTTTGTGAAGCCGCAATCCTAACTCCAGCGTGGAGCCTGCTTCTTGTGCTCTGTGGTTGCTGTCTCTGCTGTTACTGAGAAAGTGTGTCCCTATGTGCTTAAGGTGGCCTAGAGCTCCTGTGATGCTCCAGTATTGACTTTCAGAGCATTGGACTTACACACATATCCCTAGCTCCAGTGCTAGCTCCAGTTTGAAACTTTCAAATCTACTTCTCACGGAGCTACAACCCTTGTCCCAATGACAAACCTGAGTTCTAGGCCTGTGATGCCTCAGTTCTAGTATTAGCGATTCAGCCTCAGTTCTTGTCTTAACAAGAAGTCTCTGTCCTAGTAGGAATTTGTGCTGTTGCTTGGAGAAGAACTGGAAGCACCTCCTGGGGAAGGTGCAGTTTCTTTGTTTTTCCATGTGTTGTCCACCTACCTATGTATGCTTCTGTGTCCGACAAGACCCATTTGTGGGTAGCCGTTCCCAGAGTACCACTGTTCTCTGAAAGATGTGGGTTTTCTCTCAAGGGGTTTAGGCTCTAGTGCTATTTGATCATTTTGCATCATCAGCAGTGATGGTGGAAGCTCCTAAGATTTCTAAGAAGCATTGCCTATTGCATGTGTCTCTTAGCATGTGTGCTGGTGGGAAGCTGGTCGTGCATTATATTGAATTCCCAGGGTTTCATGGCCGACTGGAAGGGCAAGAGAAGTTCTTGGAGCACTTGCATGAGTGTCTAGTAACAGAGGCGCCTTCCCAGCCCTGTGTGACAATCACTGTGGCACTCACTGTGTCACCATGGACATACATGTCACACATGCTCACTCAGATCCTGAGTGAAGCACTTTTCTCCTCTTAGGCTGCACATTAACATAGAGGTAAACCAGAAACAGACTGAGGCTGAAATAACTTCTGTCAGGATCACACTGGAATCAGATCTAGACAAAGTCACAGCAGTTGTGGTTTCACTTAGGTGACTGGAGTCCTGCTCAGGAAGAGCCACAGCTTAACTCTGGCAAAAAACTAGGTCTTTGGCCCTATATAAAGTTGGGCCAAGAGTCCTAAGTGCCCAGACACCTCTCTGGGCCAGCAGAATGACCAAGGACAAAATGCACTTTATTCCAATTCAGTTGTATTCAATGCAGCACAGGGGATGGGGCTCAGGGTGTGTTGGGCACCCAGCCGAGCCCTCCCAGACCTGAGTCTCAATTTAGCAAGTTAAGTACAATACATCTCATCCAGTCCAACTCAGTTCTCATCCACTGTGTCTCAATTTTAGCTACTTATACAGAGATTCAAGCAGAGAGCTACCAAAGTGAGCTTAGCACACTCTGAACCAAGGAAAACATAGAAATTGAATATATGCCTGGTAAAGAACAATGAAGAGACTACAACTTAGGGAACAAGGCCCTGGGGCAGGGGCAGGAGGAGTGAGATGGATGTGACCTGTCCCTGAGTGGCTGGGAGATGGTTCTGGAGGAAGAGAGGATGCCATGGTGATAGGAAGGGAACATTCTAGCACAGAAAATGCAGAGGCAGCAGGAGGAGGGTTCACATTGGAAACCTGTCTGTAAAGATCCTGTCCCCTGTTGGGGATGGCAGTTGGGCTCATCAGTTTTATTGGGGAGGGAGAAGAGAAAGGGATGCTAGGACACAGGAGAGAAATTCTATCTCAGACAAGATTGCTAATGAGAAATAACTTGGCATCCGGCTCGGTACTTCCCAGCTCTGCCTCTGCTCCGTTGACTGGTGTCAGGCCTGTAGCGCAGCTGCTGCATTTCTGAACTACTCATCAGACTATGATTTGTTTTCTCTGTGATCTAAAATTCTCTATGTAACTCAGTCTTGGTCTAAGCCCTGCAAACCTCCCTTGATCCCACTTCAGTCTCCTGTGGTCGACAGCAAGAGGACCACTTTACTGCGGAGCCTTCCTGAGTCTCTCCCCCAGTGGCCTCACAATGGGTGTATTCCCTGTCTGTGCATGTTCGGCACACTGGTCTTGGTTCTCAGCAGCCAGGAATCATAGAGCAAATGTGTTGGCTTCTGGAGCCCACAGCCTTTGTCATAATAGTTCTGTTCCAGGCTCTTGGCTGCTGCTCTGTCCAGCACTGTGTATGAGTTAAACAAGCATAACACATCACAAAATGATGTCATTCTGTTGGGTTTACAGTAGCCACTGAAAGTAGCAAAAGAGGCTCACATGCATTTCGAAAAATGGGCCTTGAATAGCTCCTTCTGACAGAGGCCATCCTGGAAAACACTTGGGCCAGGCAGGTAGACATGAGACTTACTCCAGAGGAATAAATTGCCCTTTGAAGACCTCCATCTTGGCTTAAACATGTCCCAAACCTCATGACCTCCTGTCATTAAGACAGAGGATCTGAGGGTCCCCAGAGATCAGATCAATGCTATCTGAGTAAAGAGCCAGTGTTCTTCCCTGAGGTCCAAAACAGGTACATTCCGACCCAGCCTCAGCCTACAGCCTGTCTCTGAAGGTGGTACAGGCTCTTCACATACCACTGTTGGGGACCAGAACTTTGGGGAAAGCCTGGGGTCAGGGAAAGAGATGCCCCCTCCCCATATACTCTCTCAGTAGCACTCTGACTCAGCGAATGGCCCCTGTGTTTCATAGCTTTGACACCAATCATATTAAGCACCCCAGGAAAACATGTATCTTGCTGCCCTTGTATAAAAGGCTCCAGCTAATCTGAAGAACAAGGGAACTAGAAAAATAAGAAAAAGAACTAGGAAGCCAAGGCTAATTATCAGAGTGGATTCCCAGGGTCATGGTACCATACCATAGGCCTCAGACATGGAGATCTGAGTCTGCAGGAGAAACTAAGTTCAAGGCCCATTTGGAAGTTGGAAAGTCAGATAGCTGAGAGGAAGGAGGCCAGGCTGTGAGACTTAGAGGTGGTTACAGTTCTGTGTATCCAGACAACCCTCTGAATGCCCCACCCACTCTTCTGGATGGTCCAGGTACCTTACACATGGGCCAGGTGTGTGTCTGAACAACCTGGGGCCGGCTGGGTTAGTCTACACCTAGAGATTGGAATTTCTAGGCCACAGCTGCAGCTTGAGCCCCTTTTCTGATTAGAACTTGTGCTAGGCGTTACCACAGTCTCCATAGCTCCCTGTGTGTCTTAGTGGCATCTACACGAGATTGGTTTATTTGGGGAACAATGCAGCTTGAGTCTATCTCCTCGTGGGTGGTGCTCCTGGAAGTGATGGGCTGTATCTGACTGGAAAGATGCGTAGCCTCCCTTAGACACATGAGTGGGAAATGCAGGGTAGAGGGAAAATTGATCTGAAATAGCTAGGGAACGTTGGTCAGTATATCTAGGCATACCCTGAGACTGACCCATTCAGGCTGCTCTGACCACTCCTTTCAAGTCAGGCTGGCTGGTGTAAACCCATTGCACAGCAGAGAGAAAGCTGCACAGAGAGGTGGAGCTAGAGCCCTGAGAGATTTCCTGAGGTAGGGGACCATGGAGGGTATAGGGCCCTAGGCACAAATGTGAGGGGTTGGATGCTGGGGACCCATGTGACCAATAGTTAAAGCGTAACTTCCCGGCGAAGCCATGATATCCATTCAAGGAGCTACCAGGGTCACTGTCCCTACTTCCACCCTCTCCCTCTGCTCTGCCTCCTGCCTGAAGTGTTTGACATCTCTGGCTATCCTGTTACCTCTTTGAATTATATTTTAATCACAGAAATCACACTTTTAGGATCAGTTGCCTAGAACACAGGAAGCCTTGGATTCCATACCTAGTACCACACTAACTGGGTATCGTTACATCTGATTGTAATACCAGCACTTGGAAGATCAGAAGTTCAAGGTTGTCCTTAGCTACATGATAAGTTTGAGTCTAGTCTGCACCACATAAGACCCTGTCAAGGAAAGGAAGGGAGGGAGGGAGGGAGGGAGGGAGGGGGGAGGAGGGAGGGAGGGGGGGGGGGGNAGGGGGAGGGGGGAGGAATGGAGGAGGGGGGAGGGATGGAAGAAGGAAGGAAGGAAGGAAGGAAGGAAGGAAGGAAGGAAGGAAGGAAGGAAGGAAGGAAGGAAGGAAGAAGGCCCCTTCACAGATTGATATGCTGGCTCTAAGGAATCAAGCTGTCTAGAAGAGCACGTCTTCAGTCATGGCCCAAGGATGGCTGCCCCTAGGGCCTCCTTCTTCCACAGTGACTGCTCACACATCTACTTCAGAGCCTGCAAGGTATCACAGGGATGGTGGCTTAATACTGTTCTATTGCTATGAGGAGACCCCATGACTACAGCAACTTCTTTTAAAGGAAAGCTTTTAATTGGAGGCTTGTTTCCAGTGTGAGGTTTAGCCCGTTGTCATCATGGTGAAGAGCATGGCATCAGACACGGCAGGCATCCTGCTAGAGAAGCAGCTGAGCTACATCCTGATGCACAAGCAGAGTGGGTGGGGAGAGAGGGACTGGGCCTGGCATGGGTTTTTGAAACCTCAAAGCCCACTCCCAGTGACATACTTCCTCCAACAAGGCCATGCCTACTTCAACAAGACCACACCTCCTAATCCCTGTCAAGTCCTTGGTAACTAAGCATTCAACTATATGAGCCTACAGGGGCCATTCTTATTCAAACCAACACAGATGGAAGCATTAATGTGACTCAAAAAAAAAAAAAAAAAAAAAACAACAACAACAGAAAGTTGACCAGGGTGTGTGTGTGTGTATATATATATATGGTTTCAAAAGATCCCCCACTCCTGCCCCCATAGGACAAAGGGAACATGTTCCTTCCATGGAGAAGTTGCACTAACACTGCTGCTCTGTCTCTCGGATATGCCGAGTATCTCAGAGTGTCATAGGCCCTGGCTAGAGGTGAGAGGTGGGAGCTTAGAACTCAAGCCAAGTGCAGTTAGAAGTTGACAAGAAAATGGGGAAAGGAGAAAATACGGGCAAGAGGGATAGAGATGCTCATGAGAGAGGAACTCAGTGTAGGGGACACATGGCAAGTGCTGAGCGTGGAGCATCTCTGCTTCCTGTCCATGGGAAATGGAGGAGGAGTCCCCTGCTATTAGCACTCAAGCCCTTGACCTTGGCAATTCTCCATCTCTTTCAGATCTGTGGGTTACAACCCTTTTGGGGGTTAAACAGTCCTTTCACAGGGGTCACCTAAAGACCCTTGGAAACCATAGATATTTACATTATGATTCATAACCTAGCAACATTACAGTTATGAAGTAGCAGTGAAAATGTTACAGTTGGGTCATCACAACATGAAGAACTATACTAAAGGCATTAGGAAGGTTGAGAACCACTGTCATAGAAGAGGAGGCAGACCAACAGACCAGTCAAGCCTCCACGTGCATACACTGATAACCACTTGCATGGACACAGAACACCATCAGAGCAGACACCACAGAAGGAAATTAACATCAGTTCTAGAGATTCCTGGGGTTCCCACAAGACATCAGGGACAGATGGCCAGATAAGAGTTCCCAGACTGGAGAACATTCCGTGAGGAGAGCAAGCAGACAGGACACCTCCATAGCTGCTGTGGCCAACACCAAGTGCTCAGATGTAAAGACACAAAGACACAAATCCAGGTCTCCAAGATGTAGCCTCTGCTTCTGTCATTATCCTACAACCTCATTCCTCACAGACAGTGTGCATGCTCCCAGCAGCCTGCCTTATGTTACATGTCACCCAAATGTGTGATTTCAGATCACCACAATGGAGAGCAACCTAAAGACGATTGAGGAGGAGAACAAAGTCATTGAGCAGCAGAACGAGTCGCTCCTGCATGAGCTGGCCAACCTGAGCCAGTCCCTGATCCACAGCCTCGCCAACATCCAGCTGCCTCACATGGTAAGTGACTGAGCTAGGTGAGCGCCTCGGAGCCTCCGCGGTCCACCTCACTGAGTAGATGTCTGTTTCATTGTCCATGGTCCTTCAGCTTTTGGTTGTTTTTGGTCACCACCCTGAAACCATACCGTTAACCACTAGGAACATTGGTGGGGCTGATCGTATAACATTGAGTGTGCTCTGAGTAGGCCTGTTAAGTATTATGGAAACAGTGGCTCTATGCTATGATACTGTTTTATGCTTTTGTGAATATACTATTCAGAAAATAAAAGTTGTATATGAACTACTATTTAATATCTCGTAGGATCCAATCAATGAACAAAATTTTGATGCTTACGTGACTACTTTGACGGAAATGTATACAAATCAAGATCGTTATCAGAGTCCAGAAAATAAAGCCCTACTGGAAAATATAAAGCAGGCTGTGAGAGGAATTCAGGTCTGAACAGCTGCTCTAGTGGTGACTCATGCTTAAAGAGGATGCCTCTTGTTTCTTGCTGCTGTAACCTACCAGAAAGTGTTATATATTTATTTCTGTCGGAACAGTGTTATGCTCCAAGACTTCATAATGGTTTTGTGTGCTCTCGAGATAGTACCTGCAGACTAGTTTTGGATACATTCACATTTTGTACGTTTTCATATAAGCTGACATAGTGTGATTTGCCATGTAATGTTTATAGCTGCTGCTGTCTGCACATTTGGGGGTCTCTATATTTCTGAAGAGGTAAGCTGATCAAAATAAATAGAGTGTAAATTCTTTTTAATGCTTTAGTGATTAAATGTTTTAGTATTTTGAACTGAAATGGACAAAAAAAGAAAAAGGAAAAAAAAGCAGGTTTGAATGATCACTTTGTGGCCTTCTGGCCACTTTTAGATGTTATCATTTTGCCTCAGGTTGGAGGACTTTGTGGAATTTAAGAAATACATTTTGTGTGCATATTGTTTCATAGCAAGAATTGGTTGCAAAAAAATGCTTTATTTTTGAACAATGCTTGGAAATATTATGTGACTTTTTTGTTTGTTTGTTTTAGGAGGATGGTGTATGGTGGGGGCAATAAATGAGGTTTTTTGCATTCCAAGGAAATGGAATATGGATTAACTATAAGAAATGAAATAAGTAATTTATTGTAAGACAACATCAAGCCATGGAAACTTGGCAGAAGATTCAAAGCAGCTTAAACAGCACTTTTAATTAACTCCTAGACATTACATGGTGGGACTGTGGAAACTCCGTTAACACAGGAGCTTGTCAGAGGTGGACAACATGAAGATTTCCTTTGCATTTTCAGTAACCTTTGGAGCACCCTTCTCTTATTTCTCCTAGAGCCCCGTGCCCCTCTGAACTGTCACCACAATATAGCTTACCTAGCAGAAGTTGATTGTTTTTCAATTTGAGAAAAAAAAAAGGTAATTTAAGCATTTCTCTCCCCTTTTCACTTTCACAAATCATCTCCACTCGCTATTCTTGGTTCACATCTGAGGATGAAGGCTAACGGCTGTGATTGATTGTCCCTGTTACTGGATGGGATTCTCTGCTGGGCGGGTGGGAAAGCAGCTCTACCCTTCCCTCCCCCTCCCTGCCCCAACTCTGACTTTGAATAAGCCTTGGTCCTATTCAGAACACTCTGGACACCAAGGCCAAGGACGGTCACATTCTGCCCTCGCTGGCCCAGCTGACTGTAGCATCTGCACAGCCTTGTTTGGTTTATGGTGACCTAACCTGAGAAGGACTGCAATCAGATTTTAAAGTTACTAAATACACTTCGGCACTTTTTTACTTTAAACTAGATCATCCTAGTCTTGTTGATACCTTTGAAATTTGATGGTTTCATTCCAAATGACTGCACTATATGTATGCATACGGCCACTTTTGATTGCTGTGCCCCCTTCTGAGTAGTCTTTGACAATGTGTTGTGTTCCCCGATGTCGACTTGATTTCCTTTTATTAGCATCTCTCTCTTCCATGTCTTGATGTTATGCAGGAAGTACAAAAGTACTTTAAAATTTTGTTATGAAATAAAAAAGATGGGTTTTGTAAAAATAAAAAAAAAATATTTTTAGCAGAACAGGACTTACAGGGTCATTGTCCCCACAACGTGCCAGCCGGCTCTTTGCACTCGCCTTGTTCTATATGTCCACACGGAGGTGTGCAATCCTGTGTCCGTCGCCTTGGGACACTGAAGTGGATGGGCTGTAGAGGAGCCCTCAAGGCTGACCCAATACGGTTACCAAGGGAGACTACAGGGATCTCACGACAAATATTCTGATACAATACTCAACCTCGGTATATATATATATGTATATGTATAAATAGAAGAATATCCCAGCGGCACTTTATACTGTTCACTGTACAAAAGCTTACAGTTTTCCACAAGGACTTTAATAACTAGCTGGGGAAAAGATTATGTAATTACTTGGGGCTCTGCAGGACCTTCTCTGTCCAGCGCCCCCTTTCTGTTGTGCGATTAGTTGTAGCTGCCATGCTCAGAATTGCCTTTTTGAGAGCTGAAGCAAGGTGCTTACTGTCACCTGATGCCATACACATGGTCCCAGGCCCTCACCCGGGGGGGACGGGGAGGGGCTCTGTTCATAGCGGCACATGCATTTCCCCACCGCGTCTTGTCTGCAGCTTCTTGGCCAATGTAGTAATGCTTTTAGTAGAGTAATAGGTAGTATCAGTTTGGATTCTTATTGTTATCACCTATGTACAATGGAGAGGGGTTCTAAGCACAAATCTGCTGCTCATGTAACGTTGGTACATAATATCAAATCAAAAGTTATCTGTGACTATATATAGGGATCACACAGTGTCACATGTTAGAATGCTGACCTTCCACATGGGGTTATTGTGAGTCATCAGAGCATATTTATTATAACTTATTGTTCATATTCATTTCTAAGTTAATTTAAGTAATCATTTATTAAGACAGAATTTTGTATAAACTATTTATTGTGCTCTCTGTGGAACTGAAGTTTGATTTATTTTTGTACTACACGGCATGGGTTTGTTGACACTTTAATTTTGCTATAAATGTGTGGAATCACAAGTTGCTGTGATACTTCATTTTTAAATTGTGAACTTTGTACAAACTTTGTCATGCTGATGTGAACACATCTTACTCTGAATAAAAAGGTGTTGCCACGTTTGTAGCACGAAGGATCTCTGTTGGGTCTGAGTCTTCACTGGAGCCTGGAGTGCCATCTGGGCCCCTGGAGTCCTTGCCTCTGCTCTCTTGCCTTTGGCCTGGTACTACGGGGTTGGGCTGGGACTTGGGGCATGTGTGGATGGATGTGAGTCCTTGTGCATCCTGCTTGCTGTGCTTCTCAGAAAAGCAATGCTGCCCCCTTTACTGTTATTCCTGCCCCACCCCACCCCACCCCCAGCTGAGATCCAGCCTGTCGCTGAAATTGCCTCGGTGCCCATGTCTCCCAGCAGCTCGGTCCCCTTCTACACCTCTCACTGGGAATGACACTGCTGTTAGTGACCATAGCCAGATCCAGAATGCCCTGCTGGACCTCAGTGGCTTTCCCAGATCTTCCCTACCTAGAACTCAGTCTGTGATAACACGCTGGTTCAGGTACCTGCTCATCACGACAGTTCTGTGAGTCTCCCAGGACACTCAGGCGTCAAGAGGCCAGCCTGATTACTTCAGAAAATGTCACACTGGCTTCTGTGACTGCAGCCTCCTGGCTGATTCATTTTCGAGGAGTGCTTTGTCCTTACACACGCAGAGCACATACATGGCATCACGGGCTGTCATTGGTTACTAAACCCAGGCTCACAAAGGATGCAGTGCTGCTTGCAGGCTGTTGGCGAGGAGCTGGGCGACAAAGACACCTACAAAACACGACTGGCTCTGCAAATACCACACACACATCATTCTATTAACAAACTGTTAAAATTCAGCAGTACCCCCTCTAGCGTGCACAGCCCCCTAACGCACAGAGTCTAAGGAAGTAGACTCTGGAATCTTGGTTAATCTGGAACCCCACTCCCTGTGGGACCTTCTGCTGCACACCCAGGGTCAAGTGAACTCCTCAAACCCTGTTCTAGCAGACAGCTTCTTGGAGAGCTGGCAGCAGCAAGAAGATGACCAGAGCCATTGTTGGTCTCTTCCAGTGCAAGCCAGTGAGTCACGGTGACTCTTACCCCGGCTCTTTCATTTCTGCCTCAGACCTGCCTGTGGGTTCTATCAGATCCCACCATTTGAAACAGAAAGGCTAGTGAAGGGCAGCTGTCCATGGCTGAGGTCAGCCAGCCTCGAGGCAACCCTAAAAGGAAGGTCATTATTTCAAACAGTTTAAATAATGTTCAGAATCTAAGGAAATTTTGAAAAGTTAAGCTCACTGTGTTTGGTCTGAAAATATAAAAACACTTGTGAATAGACAAAAACTAATGCTAAGATCTTATGATAGACGAGTGGGTGAGCAAATCTGAGAAATGCACTTTGCAGAACATCACACAAGTGCTGCCAGCTGTGACGGCGTTAGGTCAAGGGTAAGTGGCCAAAACCCGGGGCCAATGTCAAGGTGGGCTGGGTACACACGGAGTGTTGAGTGCTCACAGGTAACCCAGAGACAGAGTGCAATGTCGGGATACGCTGAGTACGCACGGGTAACCCAGAGACAGAGAGAGTATCAGGGCCGGCTGAGTGCTCACAGGTAATCCAGGGACAGAGTGCAGGGTAGACTGATTGCTCACAGGTAATTCAGAGACAGTGTTGGGATGGGCTGAGTGCTCACAGGTAACCCAAAGACAGTGTTGGGGGGCCAAGTGCTCACAGGTAACCAAGAGTCAGTGTCGGGGTGAGCCGAGTGCTCACAGGGAACCCACAGGCAAGTCACAGCCTGGGTTTATGTGCAGCAAGCACAGAGCAGGAGAAATTGGACAGGAAAATACTCCCAGGTCACTGCCCAAGAAAATCAGAGGACCAGGACCCTCGAAGGGTCATGGCTCCCAGCACAGCACCTCTGTGCAGGACAACACAGGCAGGACAAACAGTGGACATAGTGGCATTCCATACTTTGTCCGAGAGCCCTTTGAGACTTTCCAGTCTTCCCAGACTTACCAGTCTCGAGGAGAAGGGCTTGGTCATATTTTTCTCACCATGGCTAGAAAATTTGATTATTCTTTTTATTGTTTGTTTGTTTATTTATTTATTTATTTTAAGCAGGGTTTCTACACGTGACCCTGACTGTCCTAGAACTCATTCTGTACATCAGGCTGCCCTTGAACTCAGGGAGATCCACCTACCTCTGCTTCCCGAGTGCTCTGCCACCACTCAGCTTGAGAAACTGATTTTATACCCACAGCACCCAAACACAAGAGCCAGGGTGATGAGAGAAGAAGCCATGGTCGAGAAGCACAGCAGATGCCTAGAGTAAACAACAGCTTAGTGGTGTCTTTTCCTCCGTGGAGTCCCTTCCTCTGCGGTGTCCCTTCCT